CTAGTCCCGTCTTAGACACAAAAGCTAATTGGATGACTTTGAGCCAAATCCCCAGGAGATGGTGAGTTCTAGCGCCGCCTTAGCCATGAAAGCTGGCTGGGTATCTTTGGCCCAATCATCAGGAGACAGTACATTCTAGTGCTCTCTTAGGCACGGAAACCAGCTGGGTGACTTTAGCCCGATCCCTCTCTCTCAGCCCAACCTAACCTCTCAGGGTCGTTGTTGTGGGGAGGAGAAAAGCGCCTCAGGTACGTTCGCTGCCTCGAGTTGTTTATAAAAACAATAAAAGTGGGATACTAATAAAACGAAATGCGTAAAACAAATATTGGCTTACCCATGCTGTGTGATCCCGCAGGTAGCAGCCTTTGTACTCTATACTGTTTGGATGTTTAATCCGTTGGAGGAACTTCACTTCCTTAATGATATCCTGCCATTTCTGGAGAAGAGAAAAAGGCTTTGTAAGAGGGAAGTAAAACTTTAAAAGGAAGAAAGAGCCAGGTGATCTAATAAAGGAAACGGGGCACGTGGGCAACCAAGGACAAATTCATTCTCGGCCCAAAACGGTAGGGCTGTTACCAGCGATAAAATAATAAATTGGTGTGCAGAAAGGAAGGACTTTTCTTCAGCCATATGTCTACAGGATTGCTTATTTCCAAATGTAAACTTGCCTTCTGCATTGCTTGGTTTGGCCAAGACGTTAATCTCTCGATTTTGTTTCTATATATTTATATCTATATATTCTTATATATATTATAAACATATATTTATTTCTGACAAAACTGCAAACCAAGTGTTAGATCAGTAATGGCAAATTTTTTGGCGCTGGGTGGGTCAAACATTCAGAAAATGCCTAATTTCATTCTGCTGGCAAGTCTGAACAAAAGAGAAACCTTTCTTTTTCTTTCTTTTCTTTCTCTCTCTCTCTCCATCTCTCCCCTTTTTCTCTTTCTTTCTTTCTTTCTTTCTTTCTTTCTCTCTCTCTCTCTCTCTCTCTCTCTCTTTCTTTCTTTTGTTCATTTCTAGTGGTGGCAGAGTGATGGCAACTGCAGGTTCATGCAATAGTCAGTCCCTTCCTTCCTTCCTTCCTTCCTTCCTTCCTTCCTTCCTTCCTTCCTTCCTTCTTCCTTTCCTTCCTTCCTTCCTTTCCTTTCCTTTCCTTCCTTCCTCCCTCCCTTTCCTCTTTCCTTCCTTCTTCCTTTCCTTCCTTCCTCCTTCCCTTCCTTCCTTCCCTCCCTCCCTCCCTCCCTCCCTTCCATCCGTCACTGTGTCTGTCTGTTTACCCACCCACCCTCCCATCATCATACACGTTGTCACGTGAGATGTAGCAATTTCCCCTTTGCTAAACCAGGGGTGGGCATGGCCAGTGCCTGACACATCTGGCCCATGAGCCGTTGAGTTTGACACCCCTGACCTATATCATCTATCACCGATCATCTCTCATCCATCCATCTATCTCATCATATTTCCTTCCTTCTTTCCTTCTTTCCTTCCTTCCTTCCTTCCTTCCTTCCTTCCTTCCTTCCTTCCTCCCTTCCTTCCTTCCTTCCTTCCTTCCTTCCTTCCTTCCTTCCTTCCTTCCTTCCTTCCCTCCCTCCCTCCCTCCCTCCCTCCATCTCTCTATCTAGTACTCATGGTTGAAGTTGTATGTTTAAAAGTAATTTTAAAGACCACCGACATAATTTAAAGAAACAGGTTTTCTTAAGGGTTCGGATTGGTGGAAAACGCGGGCTACTGCTAAAAGAAATAACCTTTCCCGCCATATCTCAATCTTTCCCAGAATTCTCCTCTACATATTAAAGCTCTCGTAGCTTTCGGTATCACAACGTCCTCCTTGCCATCTTCTGGAGTTTGATTCCCCAACCTTCTCATGTGCTGCTCACATTTCCCATTCCCTTAAGTCTTCTGGCTTGCTGGTTTCTTTTCTCAGTGCAGGCAGGATTCGAACCCGCCAACGGGTCAGAGGATTCTGGGCACCACAGAGGGGCGGGTCACTTACCTCGTTTGATTGCTTCCCACTGTAAGACATTTTCTTGATGGCCACCACTTCGTTGGTGCGCACATCCCGTGCCTGTAAGACCAAAAACACAAAATGTTTGGTACCTTTTGATATCAATATCTAAGGCGTTGCCGCAAAGACGACGAGGTCAGTTTATTCTCCAAAGCCCCAGAAGGCGGGAGAAGAAGCAACGGATGGAAACTCATCAAGGAGAGAAGCAACCTGGAACGAAGGAGAAACTTTCTAACAATGAGGACAATCAACCAGTGGAACTGCTGGCCACCAGAAGTTGTGACTGCGCCATCGCTGGAGGTTTTCAAGAATGAAGGAATGGACGAATGAATTCTTTTTATTGGCCAAGCGCGATTGGACACACAAGGACTTTGTCTTTGGTGCAAATGCTCTCAGGGTACATAAAAAGAAAAGAGACATTCGTCGAGAATCATCAGGTGCAACACTTAATAATAGTCATAGGGTACAAATAATAAGGGATCAAATCATACC